TGTATGCTGTTTCAAAATAAGAGCATGTGTAGCTTTGCTTCTTACTTCGTGAGCCTAAGTCACTGCTTTGTATCCAGATATGTATTCTGGAGGTTGATATATCAATGGCTACACCCCCATTGGAGAAGGTGGTGCTGCAGACTATCAGAGGTCCTTCATCATTGCTTCATTTTTATTGTTCTTTTAATCAATTTTTATATTTTTGTATATTTTCAAGGCAAAGGCGGGGGGGGAAAAATAGAATTGGTGCAGTCCACATGGATTGTATGCTGCTGGTGAACTATAGTTAGGAACATGTGATGTTAATTATTCTTGTAGATCTGCACTCTGATTTTATTCTGCTTCCATTCCTATTTGATTCCATTGTCGTAGTTCAGGATACGCAGAGCTGTATGTTTGCTAATGGAGTTAGTGGAGATCCTGTTCTGGCAGCTATTCTTCCAGGCAGATAGGACAAACCCTGTCCAGTGAAATTACTGGTAAAATTCTCAATTGTATCAGTGGTACCCTGGTTTCACTTATTAAATTTAGGGAGTCTGGTGGGGCTTAGCCTGTCCATGGATGAGAGAAAGGTGGTTATCACCATCCCAGTAGATCTTCCACTTGAGATGGAGTCTTCTGTTACTGAAACAGCCTCAATGGTGAGACTTGCAAGGAGGGGTGGGAAAATAGAAGCAGGGATTGTCTGTCTGATGAAACAAACTTGTCAGATCCTTAGGAAGAGGAGAGGTTGGGTGGGAAGAGAACTAGTCCCATTCGTACTTAAAATAGAAAGCATGGGAATGACAAATTGCAGTCCTAGATTCTTCATACTTATCTGAGCTTCTGGTTTTATTTGCTTCCTGTAAATTTTTGCAATAATTTCTTCAATTGAAATATGTGCTAGACAGGACGATGGTAAGATTTTCTCACTAGCCGTGAGTAGCTGTACACTTCACATCTGAGAAGTTAATGATGTAAATGCAAAAGTGTATTGTAAGCTCTAAGAACTAAAAAGTTAACTATAGCAGTTAGCAATTCCTTATGACACATCACAAGGAATATGTCAAAAAATGTCTAGTATGGGAATCTTCTTTTTGAATGAAACACGCATCGTTTACCGTAAGGATTGTTACCAATAGAATATATACTCTTTTCAAAGAATAAAACTGATGGTCTTTTCTTTATTCTTCTTTTCAGGCAGCACAAATAGTCCTGATTTCTCTCTTTGAATTGAACACTCCCGAGTTTACCATGTTACTTGGTGCCTTGCCAAAAACATTCCAGGATGGTGCTACCAAGCTTCTGCACAACCACCTCAAGAACTCCAGTAACACCAGTGTGGTGAGAGGCCCTTGTCCTTGCAAGCAGCAGAGCCCCAAAGACAGCAGCTCATTGATAAGCTGTTGCAGATGTTCAGTAGCATGAATTAGCTGTAGCTGTTGTCTTGAAGCAATGTGGCAACAGAGGCTTCTGTTTGTTGGTTTTATAGGGACTGTTAAAACAAACTCAGTTATTTTTAAATTTAATATAGTCATAACTAGTACAGATAAAAACCAATTACTGAGAGGGGCATGAAAGCTGGTGCTTTTGAAAATCCTGCCAGTAATGACTTTTTGGCTAAAACAGAAATCCTGATACCACAGATTTTCTGGGTTTACCACTACTATTGAAAGCAGTTTAGTAACAGATATATTATCTACTAAGAAGCTTGCAGGATATTTGTGACCTACAAGGTCTCCTCAGTCTACACCTATTACCTTATATTTTGGTTTTACATGAAGCTCTTGTTTTTGTTTCTCTGAGGGAATTTGTTAGTAGAGGATTTAAGTATGCTTCTAAACTACTTCTCTCCCCACAGCAGCAAGGATTAGGGTATTTTTTGCCTTTTTACGTGGAAATCTTGTGAAACTTGCTGGAATTTGAACCCTCCTATCTTTGCACTTCTATAGGGACAAAGTAGACCTTTGTGTAAGCTAGAACTGCAGCATTAGGCTTCCAGGCAAATGGACTGGATTCTCTAATACCTTCGACCTGTGTGAAGAGAGTCAGAATTGGGAGCAATTTCTACTCATTTTGCTGTGGTATAAATGATTGTGCAGTGGAAAAATGATAAGTTAGATTGCTTGCTTATGCTTATAACAAGCACAATCAGAGTGCTTTAGACAATGCAGAAAATAGCTGCATAATTAAATTGCTAAATTGCCAGGGTAATGGTCTGCATGCTTTGGAGCCTGGAAAATAGTATCTGAGAAGCTGGGTAACCTGGTAGGTTGATAAACCATTTCTCTGGCAATATTTGCAGGCTGTACGTGTTGTGTAGTTAAAATTGCAGGTTCTGTGGCTGAAGAAAAGTGCACATATGCTTTCTTTATCCTCAGAGCAGTACCTTCAAGAACATATTAATGACTACATGAACCATGGCTGCAGATTTTTAGGTCAAGAGCCAGAACCAAAACTGCACTAAGCTTGTCTAGCACAAACAAAGGCAATATTTGGACCTGTTGTTGTGTACTCCTGCCTGTGCATTGCAACACGTTGCTAATCCCTGTCTTCCTGCTTCTGTGCCAGGGTTCCCCCAGCAATACCCTTGGTCGGACTCCTTCCCGGCACTCCAGTAGCAGAACCAGCCCCTTAACTTCACCTACCAACTGTTCCCATGGTGGACTGTCTCCAAGGTAATGTGGCAGGCTAATTAAACCACTTGCAAAATATTAAAGGATTTCAACACTGAGTGTGCATTTGCAGAATATGACTCACTTTGAAAGCAAAAACAAGACCAAAAGTTTACAGTAGATTGCTCCAAAGAAACAGGGTTTGAACATGATAATATGTGGTTGGTGATTGAATTCAGTGTTCCAGTCCTCATGTTATCTGTGTAATCTTAATGTCTTTTCGTATAATACTAATTTTCTTTCATAACTAGGCCTTCTCCAGAATCACATTTGTGGATTCAATAAACGCAATATTAAATGGCAGCATTAGAAATTAGGTCTTGCTGAGGTTGCAAATATCACAAAGTATATGACGACTTTCAGGTCAAGGGTTTCAGATTGTGTCTATTTTTTAGGTGTGCCCTTGTGATCAGTAATTCATCTGACTGTAGTACAGTGCTTGTGCTGCCGAGAGAAGTACTGAATCTCCTGTTCCCCTCATATGCTTTGTGAGGATGCAGAACAAGAGGTGGTGGTGACTGTGTTTCAGTGCTGAATACCTCTCAAATCATCCTCCTGGCTGCTCACCAGCAGAACGGTGGCCTGATCCTTTGGGCAGCAGGTCTATTGCAACCAGGTGTTTTGCTGAACCTGCAGATGCTACCCTAGAATATATTGGACCACTCCAAAACCTTTTATTGAGCAAACATGGACTCTTGGATATTGGGAACATACATGTTTTGCACCATAAAAACTTAGAGCAGAGGAGATAGGAATTTAAACAATATGCTCTGGGACTGTAGAAATATTGGAGGAAAGTATTAGGTTGTTACCTGGACAAGCTTTGATTCATGCTGGGAAAGCTTAAAAGCTGCTGCTCTTGTCTGCCTGTCCTGTCTCCGCATGGGAGGTCACTTCCCTTTGTCACAGAAGAGACAGAAGGAAACATGTTGGGTGAGGACTGCAGTTCGTAGTCCAATATAGTAATTTACACTGAAATCTGTTGATCAGCCCTGTCATGAGTTGCTAAACCCTGTCTGGCAGGATGCTTAGACGTGCGAGTTCCCATGTGTCGGGAAAAACACAGGCTTTTATCCTTTAATGAGTAGTTATACTAATTCCAGCAGCATATGAGGAGCACATGGAGTTTCCTGAGAAAATTTTGGATATCTAAATACATCTTTGTGACCCTTAAATCTGCTGTAATCCAAAACTAGACCAAGAGGTGACAAGCCAAGGTTGAGTTGTCTATTATGAGTTTTTTTTCAACAAAGGTTTCATTAAGAAATTAAGTGGTAGAGTTTCAGGGGAATGGTTCCAACTATATTGCTTCCTTTTTGACTAGTTTGAGCACTGTTGCCCTGCTGATTTCTGTCATGGGAAATTATAAACTGAGATATGTCTCCCTGTGGTTACGTTGTGGCTTTGCTGGCCCTGTTTGCATGTGGCACCTATTTTATAAATCCATGACCTTTTACCATGCTTTTTGGGTTTTGCCATTGGGACACAACTGTGTTTTCCACTTCACTCACTGCTTTTCGGTTTGTCTTTGCATTCTTCTCACCTCTTGATGTCAGGATGCATGTATCAAAATACTGATTAAAGCATTCAGCGTACACTTCATACTTTGTTGTTGCTGTTGTTTTCTAGCATTTTGAGTTTAGGAACTGGAGTTTTTTCCCCATGTGATGTGTTCTCAAGGAATAGTTAGAGAGGGCGTGTAATTCCAGAGTATTCTGCCATTATGTTGTCAAGACCAAAACTGCCACTGGTGCAGTGGTCCAGGAATTTCCTTTAGAAAACAATCATTCCTTCAATTTTCTATGGAGTTCTTGGGAGATGTTGATCCAAAAATTTAGGTGTCTTTTCAAGAAGCGTGTCCTGCTTCCTTGCTGGATTTAGTTATTCAAGAGTGATGTGTAAAAGTTACTCTTCAATGATAGGTGAAGGTGGAAGCTGCTGTAAAAGCCCTTGAAAATATTCAGGGGAGAAGTTCTACTTTTTTTGGTGAGTGAGCTCTGAGCAGTAACAGTAGCTCCAGATTTTTACCATTTGCAGAAGAGGTGGTGGCAAGTACTGCAAATCAGTGGCAGTAGCTTCTGTTGCTCTGCTGGACTGCATCCTTCTTGAAAATGTCTTGTGTAGCACAGTTTGAGCATGGTCCTGACTTAGAGAACAAGGGAGAATTTAGCTCTGTTTCTGAAGAGTACATGTGGTCGTCCTTCTTTCAGAAAAAAGGCTTTGGAAGATGTGCTAACAGATTACTGGAAGTAGGGTACACTGCAGTATTGCAGTTGTTGGTATAGAGCTTCTGTGTCATGTTTCCATTACAAATGCTTGTCACTTGCTATTCATCAGTGGTGTAAAATGTCACTTTTCTCTCTACAAACTTGGAAAATGAGCACACCCGAGTCATTCTGATAGCAGTGTGAAAGTCTAAAGATTCCCACAGTTCCTCTGTGTAGCCCTCCTCTGACACTAGGCTTGGCTTTACGTTTTTATGGGACCCATTGCCAAAGGGGTGCCATTGTACCGAGGTTGTGTTTGCCCATTGCTTCCTGGGGTGCTCCGTGTGCAGGCCCTGCTTAACCTCGTCCATGCCTATGTCTTGTACAGGCAGCCTGAATGCAGTCAGTTGAAGGATTATCTCCAGTTCTTAATGCCAGCTTTGGTTTTGAAGATTATACTTTCCTTTGAATTTTTTCTTGATGCACAGGTTGGAGGAATCTTATCTAGAGATGTATGTGTTTTTGGGGCTGGGATGTGTGTCGAAGGGATAGTTTGGGTCCTGTAGGAATATAAAAACGCTGCTAAGCCTAACTGCTCTCCCATATTACTAATGGTTTGTGGGCAATATCCTCAGTATTAATCAGCAAGGCTTCACTGATACTGACTTTCTATAGTATGTATGTGTGCTATTGCCCTTAGGTCACAATTACTTCTCCCGTATTACTGCCATCACAACTGAATTCCAGATGGCTGATCTCTTATTTTTTGTGTGTGTATTTGTGTGTATGCATATTTGAGCTCTCGGGATAGATTTTGAATGTTTTGGTTGAACTGGACTTTGCTGATGCAAATAGCTAATTTGCCTATCCAGGTGATAACATCTGCTTAAGTATCCCCTGATGTTAGTGTCTTCAGAAGGGTAACTTTCAGAAGGTGCTTTCAGGGCCTTGGGCAGAGTCCTTCCTTCTCCTGCTTTCATGTGCTCCATCCAGTTCTGCTTCATGATCACTAGAACATATCCACTGCATCTGTGAGTTACTTCTGCATTTGTACCTGCTTTTTTTGTCTTGACAGTTTTAGTTTTTGGGGAGAGGAGTTATGGAGGAAAGAGGTCTTTTCTGAAGAAGAAAAGCAGGGGAGGGCGCTTGGGAAGACTGAAAATAATAGGAAAAAACCCAGACTTCTGACTGAGAGGAAAGAACGTTTCCTGGGCAATGCTCAGATGAATGGCTTGAGTTTGTGTTGGACAGAGAAAATCTTCTGAGATTTAGTAAATGATGTAGTATGACAAAAAGGAAAATACTAAGTTGTGAAGTCCTCCAGTGTAGGAATACTATTCTGAATGGCAAATGAACTTCTGTAAACTCAAATGTTACGTTCAGGTTGTGAATTTTCACCTAGAATTCTATAGAAATATTTGAAGGAATATCAAATGAATAGGTTTGCCCTGCTGTTTCTGCCTTTACTAGTAGCCCAGAAACCTGTGCATAGTTCCAGTTACTAAAAACCCAAATTTAGGCCTTCAAAGATCTTTAGAGGAAATGCATCAAAATAGAAAGCTAACAATTTTATTTGGCTAGTAAGTTTATGTGCTTGGTTTTTTACTGACAATAAAAATACCATTAAAAATAAAATTTGACAGTTTCAGTATTAAGTTGAGCAAGGCAGGGCATGGAAAAGGAATTAAAATAAGCCATCCACCGTATACAATAAAGACAAGCCTGCATTGTTTGGTGGCCCGTTTGCAGGCAGGTGAGACCTGAGCTGTGAGACTTCTGATCAGCAGTCTGGGTGTCTGGTGTATTTCCATAATAGTTGCATGTAATAGCTATGGTTTTGCTGGTTAACGAGTGAATTTCTTGACACCACTCTTCAGAGACGTTTTCAACTGGCTTTGCTGCTGTTTGCACTGGAACAATTCTTGACTTGTTTGCCACTTCTGATCTTGCAATATCTTTCACTTGTGTATACACAAATGTGACTTTCCGAGGCAGTGTACTTAAACTTAATAGAAACAAAGTGGTGTCCTGAATACTCCACCAGCTCAAGCGTCTATATTCTCATTTAGAAGATGATTTTGAAAATCCATGTACCATAAAGGGAATGGGACAAAAGCAAAGGTTAGACAAATTGGCACAGGGATGGATGCCTTGACCCAAAGATGCAAGATCAAACAGTAACCAGAAGCGGCTTGTGGAAGTTTGATGAGAGATCTGAATCGACTTAGAGGCTGGTTTCATCCAGTCTTTCCAGGTTTGTCTGCTGAGATCTGGGCCAAGTCCCCAATTTACATGATAAGTTTACACTCTAGACTGACTTTCACTTGCTGCATATTTGGGATCAGTTTGAATCTGGTGAAATAGGATCAGATCTTAAGCCCTGAAGAGGTTTGCTGATTGTGTAGGGCCTGATTGCAGGCTCTTATAGAGGCACCAGGAGCCAAATTTGACAAGCTACCTTTGTGTGTCTGATAAAATCAACTTCAACTTTCCTTTCTTCCAGGGAGATCCTGTTGCTTGCAAATACCTGCTTAGAGTTTGAATACAGATGTGTGGTCAGGGATTGTTTACTTAGAGCATTTCAAGAGTTGTTTATAGAGGCTATATCCATCTGTAAAATTTACTGGTTAGTACAAGCAGGGACTATTTTTGTGTGAACCATATTGTTATGTTAGGAATAAAAGTAGAAATGAATAATAAAGGCCAAAACAATGACTTGTGAGGCTCAATGGAGTATTCTTGTTTAATTTTGTTTCTATTAATTTTTTTCTCTCTCTCCAAGGCAGCATGACAGCACTAAGCCACTCAGATTATAGTTTCTTTTTTTCTCCCTCTCCTTTCTCTGTTTTTTCTCTCTTTCGTTTCTCCTCTGATCACGGCAGTCGGTTCTGGGGTTGGAGTGCAGATGGGCTGTCGAAGCACCCCCCTCCCCTTTCTCAGCCTAACTCCATCCCCACTGCTCCTTCCCACAAGACTTTCAGACGCTCTTACTCTCCCAGGTAACAAGCTACCTGTTAAACCAACTTGTCTGAGGTGTCACAGTATTATTTACCTTTCACACTGTGGGATTTGTTCAAATGCGGGAAATTATTTGCAGAGGCTTTGGTTGGAAAAGGAAAAGAGATTATGATAGCTTTCAGAGAGTGGAAGTGGCAGGCAGCCACTTGCTCGCTGCTTGGAGAAGATGTGGCATGCAGGTGGAAAAAAAAAAAGTGGATTTTTCCAGACTCTTCCTCCCTGCCAGGTTCCTGAATGGGTGTACATTTCACAGTTGGTTTCCAACGCAGAACACAGTTGCTGAGCACTTTCGGCAGGTACCGGTTGCATTATGGTAGCATGGGCAAAAGGTCTTTCAACTTGGCTACACTGTGCAAGCGGCACATGAGTACTTTCAAACAGGCAAATGGAGCTCAGTAGTGATTTCACATCTGCGGTAGTGAATATCCATAACACAATGAGGATGAAGCTTGCATTTATGATTTTACCAGCTGTTTGCACAATGTGATTGTGGAACATCTTGGAAATTTGTAGTATTGAAATTAAAACTGTCCTCACCACAAGATTTAGAGGTTATCTATTGCTAATTTTGACATCTTTTCCTACTCCTGTGCCCTCACATTTTGTTCCAATCTGCATACCAATCTTCAATCAGTATAGTGGACTAAAGCTGTACACTGGTTTTAATCAAAAAAACCCTTCTGAATACGAATCTAATTTGTCAGATCTCTGTTAAATTCCTTGGATTTTTTTTTTAAATTTATACCCTGATAACAGGCTTTCTGTAGATGTGGTTTCTCCTGACTTAAATATACTCATTACCTGAGAAAGGACGATATATAGTCTTTCCTAGAAGCAAGACGTTCCTAATGGAAAACTATTGAAAGAAAAGCAAACAAATTGTTCTTTGAGGGCTCAAAATCTTGGAATCTGTGGTGTCTGAGAGAGAAAATAGAATCCCATAGTCTGTACCTCTGTGAATACCTGCAGAATTAAAACTTTAAATCAGTGTTCTGACTCTTCTAGGACACTAAGATATCTGTGGAAGAGATCCATTTTGATTTTTGGAGGTAAGCTAGTTGAGAATTTTTTTCCTCCTTTCATTAGCTGACACCAAGGTTTGGAATAATTTGACGTATATTCCAGCCCAGAGCCTGAAAGTGCAAGGAAGTGGGTTACTGTGTACTGCTTGAGGATGCTAAACTGTTGATTACTTACACATAGTTTGGTTTGGAAACTGAATAATAGTTTATGGAAGTAAAATGTGTTTTATGTCAGACTGGAAAGCTGTCAAATTGTATCTTGATAAACTTGTAGAGAGCTGCATTGTTTTAGTGCAGCAGAAGATGGAAAATAATGTTGTGACATCCCTAAACGCTGCTCATCTCTACTCACTTCTTATTCATCCTGTGACTTTCCTCTAGTTTTCTGCATGGGTCATAGTTTTTTTTCCTTTTGTACCTCTTTTTTTTTTTTTTCCTGAAAGGTGGGTGTAGTTCCATTTTATTTTTTATTCCCCCCATCGTGTTGTCTGTGAAGTATTCCAGCACACATACTGTCAATAGACATGTGTGTTCATATGTAGAGTTTTCGTTCATGTAGAACTACACAGCCATAATGTGATCTCCTACACAGGCTTACTCTTGACATATGAAATCACTGGATTCTTTAGATTTTTATTAAAATGTGGTTTTGTGCTTTGAAAAATGCATCAGATTGGTGGCTCTTTGTTGAGAAATTGCCTCAGTCCTTTAGCATTGCAGAGTCTGTACTTCGATCTATTCTGTGGTAGCAGTATAGGGCAAAATTTATCCCTGAGGAAAGAAGTGGTGATTTTAGCAGAAGATTTAGTGTCAGTGTATCTGTGATTATTTCTCATTTTTTTGCCATGGATTTCATTCTGTGATCTTTGGTAAGTCATGTCATCTCTTGGTGTGGGTACACGGGTGCAGTCACATGTATACCTTCTCGAATTGTGGTTTCATTGCTCACATAATATTGCATGAGGAACCCCTTAAGATCTATGAATTAAACATGCTTGAGCTCAAAATTAATATTTTCGAGATCATATGAAACAAAGGTGGTCCTATCCCTGCCTGATACTTACAAAGAATCTAAAAACTGCCTTCACTTCTGTCTGGAAAGCCATCACAGTGCATTAGTATCATTCAGCTGTCTGAAAAGCCCTAGATACTTTGATTTCTGTAGATTTATAAACAGCTTTTGTTTCCTGGTCTTGGTCTGTTCTTTAAGTGGTTTCTCTTTCTTCCTGGCCTGACAGACACTGTTTAAAGTTGGGGAGTTGTTCTTTGGTTTCTTTGCCAGAATACATGGTGCTGATGCTTGTGTGATCATAGAGTTGAGCGTGTTGCTTGGGAGCCAGGGATTATGGCTATTTTCAGTGTGTTAATCCCAAAGGAATCAGTCAGCACCAATCTTATCCTCTGTCTGAAGTTCTTGAATTTCTTCCAGAAAAAAGAAGCAGCGGTTCTAGATATTTAATATCCTACTTCTAGGATGTTAGAATTTTCTATTGAAAATTATAGCTGTGTACCCAGCATTCAGAAAGGATTTTCTGGTTTTATCCCCCATCCGCACCCCCCCTTCTTTTGTGGAAAAGGAACACAGCTCTTTGTTCAGCCATCCTCCTCCAAGCCCATCCTGTCACCTTTCCCCAGCTGTTAAGAAATAGTCATCCACCCCTGTAGGGAGCCACTTCTTGCCATTTATCGACAAACAACTTGATGTAAATGTCTCGAATTCTTTTGGTTTATTTGCTTCTGGCTCTACTAAGATCCAAATCTCCCCCAGAGAAATTGTTCTCAGTTACTGGGTTGCTTCGTTAAATTTCTCTTGGAAAAATGATTGTCGTGCAAACTCAACTTTTCCTCCTAGATGGAGCAAGTCCTGCCAATAATGCCTTTTCATTTTCTCCAACCTTGTAGGAGCTTCTCTTCTTAGCCACATCTTTTCATATTATCTGCCCTTGCATGCCAGGCATTTTTTCATGGCACTTAATTTTGGATAACCCTTCAAGGAATCCCAAAACTTGTGTGGCTTTATGCTGCTGAGGAGTTTCTGAGGAACAGACAGACTGCAGGAAAGCATCAGATTTGAGTGAGAGAATTCCCAAACTTAGGCTCAATACTGAAGTGCATCTTTTATCAAGACATCGTGCAAGTGGTTTTGGTTTTACTACTCTATAAACGAAAATGGGACATGTTAGACTAAGGTTTACGTCAAGATACATTTTCCTTTCCATTTAACTCTGTCACATTTGAATCCATTGATAGAATATATTTGATACATTATGAAACTCAAATTTCATTGATTTCATTTCCACTAGCTGTCACAGCCCTTTGAGTTATCATAGTGATTGATTTTCTTTATTTTCCTTTTTAAATAACACCATTACCATGCTGGGGATAATTTTTTTTGGTTTACAGAAGCTAGCACGCTCACTGCTGTGGAATGTAACAAACAGTGGACCTGATTTCCCCTCACTTACAGCGATGTAACACCACTGATTGCAGTGGAGCTTCTCCTAGATTTAGCCCTGTTTGAGGAGAGACTCAGACCCGAAGTCTGCTTTGATTCCACCCATGTTTTGTTACAAGTCACTGTTAGAAAGGGTACACCAAATCATCTGTCTTCGACTTGGCATTGTTTTTGTTAAGTCAAAAGCGGATTCCAATTTCATATGTAACGTTTCATATACGTTTGGTCTTTAGTATGCTGGATTATGACACGGAGAACCTAAATTCTGATGAAATCTACAGCTCTCTTCGTGGAGTCACAGAAGCGATTGAAAAATTTAGTTTCCGTAGTCAAGAGGACCTGAATGAGCCAATCAAACGTGATGGAAAGAAAGACTGTGACGTTGTAAGTATTTGATTGATTAATGTCCCCAGATAGGTGAAATTTTAAAATGTTGTGTTCAAACCTGGCTTTGGATTGTTAGTGTACAAAATGTGGTTATTCC